AAAAAAAAAAAAAACTATTATTGATCAATATGGGTTCCAATAAATCCATCCTCTTTCTCTTCATCAACCTCATGCTCTTTGCCCTAGCCAAAGCCTGCTACATTGGTTGTAACAAGCCCAACCCAAACCCGAACCCACTCCCGTACCCAAACCCGAGCCCATCAAAGGGCAGCTGCCCAAGGGATGCCCTAAAGCTAGGCATATGCGCCAAGCTCCTCAACGGTAGCATCGGGGCAGAAATCGGCACCCCACCGGACCACCCGTGCTGCTCGGCACTCGGTGGGCTTTTGGACCTCGAGGCCGCCATTTGCCTTTGCACCGCCTTGAAGGCGAATATTCTCGGAATCAACTTGAACATACCGATTTCCTTGAGCTTGCTCGTCAACACATGTGGCAAGACACTCCCTAAGGATTTCATTTGCGCTTAATTCGATTGTCGGTCGAACGTGTGCTTTTTCGTGCATGCTAGGGATTTCCACGTTGTCGATCGACTGATGTTGTTTTCGTGTGTTCTTGTACGTTGTTATTTTTCGTTCGTTGAAGTTGTCATTTCGAATTGAACGGTTATCTTTCTTTCTTTTTTTTTTTGTCATTGGATTTGGATGTAAGCCCGCATGAATTTGATGTTGATTAGTGAAAGTGATGTTGTTTGTTTCTCGTTTACATTTTGTTTTGGGAATGTTCTTGCCATTAACAAAAAGAAATGAAAAAGAAAATGTTTCTACATAAGCTCATATTCTTTCTTTATGGGCTATCTACATGGCCCAATGTAGTTAAGATATCCTGAGCTTATAATTCAAACCGAGTTTAACAAGGCTTTAGAGCCCATGGACTTGTTGATAAATATTTATTGGGCCTTAATTTGGGCTCATAGTGAAGTACTAACCTTAATTTGGATAACTCGTTATCCAATATCAGTTAAATATTCCAATTCCTACCTATCCATGCATGTGTGTGAGTGCGCGAATTCGTGTACTTCAATAGTGATATAAACCCATGTGTAGGAATAGGATCAATCTTAAGAAAATTCATTAAAAAAAATAGATAAATCGAAAAATATAAATGTGCGACTAAATTAAGCATAAATGAATGCGCTGTTAAATACACCGAAAATATGTAAACTTTTCGGTTTATTTCAGATGTCCATAATCGACACCAAATATGCTCTATGCCCATTGCAATATTAAATATCATTATTTTAAGTAAAAAATATGACACGATTCTCATTTTACTAATTACGTGATTACAAGTTTACATCAACAATGGATGGATCATATTAACTTTGGTTTAAACAAATTGGATATGCAATCCATGTAATGGGTTTTATTTAATCTTTAATTACAGTTAATGGCGATTGATTAGCCAAAAGCACCGATAAATTAGGACCGAATATAATTATCCATCCAAAGAAGGGGAAATGCTACGGTCCCGTTACGGTACCATGGGTGTTTTAACCGTTAGATCATCTATCTTATCTAACTAAATATGGATGGTTATAATACCCGACGGGATAATACCGTAACGGGACTATAACATTTCCCCAAAGAAGAATATTTGTTGAATTAGTGCAAGTGGAATTTTTACATATGTTTTTGCAATAACAATCAGTGGTTGCAGACGAGGCCCTTATTAGTTTATGCTTCCTTATTATATATTCTTTCATGGGAATCTTTTACCATAGTCTCTAAGATTATAATTATTTTAGCAATAATGTCAGTATAAATATGAGTAATTATAGCTCTACTTTTTACCTCAATTATATTCATATGTGTTCTTAATTAATCTCAAAACAAAAGTAATGAGTGGAGCAACATAATGAATATGACTCTACAGTAAATTTTTTCCATAAGAAATAGAAACATAATTACAAAATTAGTGTCAAGGTTTGCTGTCCAGTTATAGTAGTTGATGCATCGATTTATGGAAAGACACCATAGAATTTCTAAGATTGTAAGGTGTTGTGTTGTCCCGTTACAGAATCATTCCGTCAGGATTAGTAACCGTTAGATCAACTATCCACGACGGTTACATAATGATTTAGCGGTTACAAATTCGGACGGAATGGTTCCGTAACGAGACTGTAGTATTTTCCATATATCATAATATATAGTTGCAGTTATAAAAGGATTCATGCCGAAACAATCAATATCAACTGGTATTTTATCTTGTGCACAGGCACAGTTGTAAGTAAAATTCTATATGTTATATGTGTGTATGCGATATTTAAATCATCGATTAGTTAATAATGAGCATATCACATTTTATAAATTTTATCATTCGTAAAAATGAACATATAAATATAAACTATTAACTTGCATATTAACTTTTATATCGACTGCAAAAATAATCCTTGATGATTATGAACAATTGATTAAATAAAACAATATTGAAATTATTATTATAACAATTGTGCACAAAATTTTAAAAGGTTAGGTTATACCATAAAAAAATAATTAACTAATGTTAATAAAAAAACTTACATAATGAGTTAAAACAAATAATAATAATAATTTTTAATAAATATTGGAAAAAAAAAATAGATTATAATATCATTTAATGTGACTTTATTATTATAAGTAGTGATTATAATCACTTTTTTTTTTTGTACAAAGAAAGAGGCCACAGGCCTAGGCTAGTACTCGTCGCGGGTATGACACCCTAATATTATCATGTTCGATCCATGCTCCTAAGCCCATGGGTGGGGCGGCAATGCGGTGCAGCCCGAGCGGATAGGATTCTGCTAGGCTCGCCATATGATCGGCTGCGAAATTTGCTTCCCTGTGAACGTGTTGGACCTTGACATTCCAGTCTCTGTTGACCATACTCCCAATCGACATAACCAATGCTTCATGTGGACCAAGATCGTCGTCAGAGTCACATACCATCTTTTGTACGCAAAGGCTGTCAGTCTCCACGATAACTTGTCTAAACCCCGCCTTCCATGCAACTGGAGTCTCTGGTATAGTCCCCAGAGCTCCGCTCCCGTGACACTGCAGAGTCCTATATCAAAAATAAAGCCCTCCACCCATTTGCCCGCCTCATTGCAAATTAGACCACCCGCATAACACCTCCCGTTGAAGTATTAGCCGCTCCACCGGAATTTACCTTAATCCACCCTTCGACTGGGGGACTCCACCTGATCATTCGCGTGACATGAACCGCCGCCCCCGCCTTCCCATAATCCACCGCCGCATTCATATAACTCTTGGTGAGGTGCACCACCTCCATAGCTCTGGCCGCGGAACTAAGAGATGTGTGTTTGAATATTCGTTCATTGCGCCTCTTCCAAGATCGCCAAAACGGCAATCGCGAAGACGGTACTCCAATTTTCCCAACTCCCCATCCGCAACTTTGATAAATTCGATCTGAGTCACGATTTAATAGCCAGATGAAAGAAGTTCGTGTCGTGCACCACATGTAACAAACGGGTCCATAGCTCTCGAACAGTCGCACAGTCGAACATTTAAGGTTATGTTTAGTAAAACTAGTTGATAGCTGATAAAGTAGCTTATAGCTTATATGTAATTTTTGAGCTTATAGCTTATAGCTTATGATTTATAGCTGAAAAGCTAGCTTATATGATAAAAGGTATTTGGTAAATTAGCTGATAAGCTAGCTGAAATAAAAAATTCAACTAGCTTATTTGAAAAGCTACCTAAAGTAGCTTATGAAATAAGCTCGAGCTTCTTAAAAAAGCTCGTCCTACCAAACGAGTCTTATTTTGATATATGGAGCTTATAAACTAACCAAATAAGCTATAAGCTAGCTTATTTGGCTTACCAAACATACCCTAAATACTATTGTACTAGCCTAGTGTTTGAGGATAAGGCACTATAATTACCCCTTCATTTATTATAATATGGGACGGGAATTGTTTTCTTTCTAAAAATATCAATGTTATTGTTTTCGTTGGTTTGTTTTCGTTGGAATTTTTGGTTTGTTTTCATTGGTTTGTTTCCCTGAATTGAAGGGATAATCAATTCAAATGGATATATCAATGTTATTGTTTTCGTTGGAATTTTTCAATGGATTCCAACGGAAATTCCAACAAAAATATTCTGTAGGAATGGGTTTTCCATTGAAATTCCGTTTGATTTTGGCGATTCCAACGGGGGTGGAGATAAAAATTCCAACGGAAATTGCATATTTCAACGATAAAAAACCGTTGGAAATATAGTCGTTGAAATCATCAGATTTCATCTAAAATTCCAATGAAAATCACATTCTAATGGAATACTTCCATTGAAATATATTGTCATGGAATTTTTGGTAAGAATATAACAATTTTTCTGTAGTGGATGCATAAATAAATTTGTATTTTTTTTAAGCATATATATTAATGGATGCAATGCTGCCAGTTTTTTTCCTAGCCCAATTAATGTATTTTTATTTAATTAATTTATGGGCAAATCCTTAACGTTAGCATGCATAAATGCCTGTGTCATTGATAAATGGAAAACCGAAATTAATATTGACATTTGGATACCAAAATAGTAAACAATAAATACTGGTGATGGGCAACTGGATTACAAAAATGGCTACCAATAATTATTGCTTACGTTGTCAGAACTCCAGTTTTCTGAGTCCAGCAGGATTTTGTTACTTGCATTCCAATTACTACTAGTACGCCACCCGCGCGTTGCGCGGTATGATGTTAAATATATTAATGAATTATAATTTAAACGAATGACAATTTATTTACAATAATGTCACTTATTATACATTTGATAATTATACATATAACATTAGTTGTAGGCGAATTGAGTTTATTATGATCACTATTGCCATTGAAAATATTAATCTTTCGTTTATAATTTTAGAAACAACAATATGCTACTATTATGACTAAGTGTATGTTTTTTCAGCAACAATATCACATATAACAACAATAGTTGACTTTGATCAACTCACATTGCCTAACACAACATAATAAAAAATATCATCGTTTGAATTTAAATAGTAGTTTTGAATTGAAACGTCAAGGAAAAAAATAGTAGTCTTGAATTGGAAAACGTCAAGGAAAATAAAAAATTAAAATTATGCTGTGAGAATTTCACCTTTTATAATTGTGTTTTTAGTTTTTTGTTGAATTAAGAAAAAATTCTTTAATATCGTCATTATTCATCAAGTCAATAACATATCAAGCTATTTGGACTGAAAATTACTTATAAACTGCTAATTAAACTTCTTGAAATATGCATTGAGATTTTCACTGCAAAAATATTGAATTATTTAAATAAAATTTCATTGACAAAGGAAAGTCAATTATAGCAAACAATTTTTACTCCAACATACTTGTAAATTGATGAATCGCTTTTGATAGTATTTTTATAATTTATTTACTTTTGAACACAAATTCACATCAATTTTAATTGCATAATAAATGTTAAATTAAATATAATATTTATAAATTATAAATTTGAAGCCT